TGCATCTATTCATGAATGAATTAATTTATACATTTTAACAGCTTACTTCAGAAAAATCATTAAGGTTTATAAGATCTTTCTTGCAATTTGGACATCTGTCAGATAACTGTAGAAAAATAAATCCTGATGGGAAGTGTAATGATGAAATGTCATTTTATATCACTAACATCTATCACTTATTATGTCAAAACTATTTTCATAAGTAATAAGCTTCAGACATATAATGACAATGATTTTACTTTCAAAATGCTTATAACTCCAACTCCAAAAATAGCCCATGAGAAACAAGTGGGTCGTCTTCATGAGAACAGTGGACAGAAACTGGTCAGGCAGATGAAGGACAGGGACTTTTATTTACTTATGCCCTTGGCCAGAAAATGGGAATGTCCTTGGTTCTGTCATACGTATTTAGTAGCTTGGTTTTGTAGTATGTTTTCTTGTTATGTTTCTACTTTTATACAGCAAAGCACACAGCTGCCTGGAAACTGTGCATGAGGGTGTGAATGAAACTGTAGCCTGATTCCTGGAGGGGTACAATTAGTCAACTAGACTAATTAGCTTACTCCCATGCCTCAATGAAGAAAGTCTTAACCCTACACAATGAAGCTATAGGGCAACCCATTTCTTAGGACCTTCTCTTGCTCCACAAGAGCTCTGCCTGCTTCCTTTCTCTTAAGCACTCACCTATGAACCCGAAATACACACCTTTATTAAAACACACTCTTTCATACTCTGAAACTCATCCTTCAAGTTCATGAGACAAAGAACCCTCAAGCCACTGGCCAGGGTTGGCTTTGGTGGCTGTTGATCTTCTGGGACCACAGCACCAAAGAACTATTGCTTATATGAGGTGGAGAAACCTCTACAGCTCTCAAGAACCCCTGATTTTACCTGTAGCAATCTTACTGTTGACTAAGTCTCTACTGGTCCATATATTTTACCCAGTTATAATTGTTTTGTTATAAGACAAAACAATATTGAACTATGTTTTAAGCATTATAATATCATCCTGAAGTACTTGGAAAATTTATTTTATTTATTCAAGAACATAACTTTGGGAAGTGAAGAAAGAGAATATACATGCTACTTTTAGCCACAGTTTAGGTAAAGAACAACATAAACTACATATAAGTCTGTTTGTGAATACTTTAAGTTCCAAAATGTGATCCTGTTCTTAGATCGAGTTGTCATTTTTACTTTGGTGGAGGATAAAATGACGTGGTTGGTCAATGTGCAATGCAGGTCTTCAAAAACCTTTTGGGCACAGGTACCTGGATTCTTGTCCTTGGCTAGAAATAAAAATGCCCTGGTACTACATGGGTTGTATCTCTTCCCTCATTCCTGAAACACCATTATCATAGATGCTTACTACAGATGCTCATCTGCAACTCATCTTCTTCCATGCGGAAAAAAAAAAAAAGGGATGTCAAAAATAAATTGGGAATGCATTTGCAACTAGGGTTCACTTTGAAGACATATTTTTTCTATTTATTAAAATATTTTATTTTTTATTTTACGTGTTTTATGTGTATGAGTGTATTGCCTGCACGTATGTGAGTGCACCCATGTCATGCAATGCTGGGGAGGTCAGAAAATGGCTTCGAATTCCCCTGTAACTAGAGTTAAGCTACCACGTAGGTGCTGCGAATTGAACCGGGGTCCTCTGCAAGAGCAGTCAATGCTCTTAAGCACTGAGCCATGTCTCCAGCCCGTATTTAAAGCACTATATAAATGCACACAACTGACAAGCACAGCTAGACTGGCAAACCAGTAAATGAAGTTGTCTGTGAGTTGCTGAGGTCTTTTTGTGTGTTGTCTATAACCCAGCCTCTTTGGGGTTAAGAGACAGCTGTGATATACAAGCTTTGTCCTGACCTCTGCTTGATAATAGCAGACAGTTGGTTCTCATTCTTCCTATTCTACCATTGGTCCTGTACAGCCCCGGTTTCCTGTATGGAGTCTCTCCTGCTTGAATACAGAGTGGTGTATAACTAATACTCAAGTCCAAGGTAAAGCTTGAGAGACTTTTTCAAGTTTTAAAATTCTTTTTTTTGTGTGTGTGGTATTTCCTCAAGTGAAAAAATGTA